TGGTGCTACTGACAGGCTGACAGGAACCTTTTCACTTTCAGCTTCTGATTCTCTCTCTTTTTCCTCCTCCTCCCTCTTCCCTAACTCTCCCCCTTTCATTTGTGCAAATTACCTTAGCATTAAGTCTTGGCTTGGTGCTGTGGCCATCTGGCTAAAGTCCTCAGCTTGAACGCCCCCAGGATCCCATATGGATGCCAGTAGTAATCCCAGCAGCTCCACTTCCCATCCAGCTCCCTGCTTGTGGCCTGGGAAAGCAGTTGAGGATGGGCCAAAGCCTTGGGTCCTGCACCTACATGGGAGACCCAGAAGAGGCTCCTGGCTCCTAGCTTCGGATTAGCTCAGCTGCAGTCATTGCGGCCGCTTGGCAAGTGAACCAGAGAACTGAAGATCTTCCCTCTGTCTCTCCTCCTATCTGTATATATTGACTTTGCAATGAAAATGGGTAAATCTTTTTAAAAAAAAATATGCCTCAAACTCCACTCATATGCACAAGTCCCTTACATATTTCCTGTAGCCTAGTTTTGAACAGTAAAATTGATCTGATAGGGTTAGTTAGAGAGTGGCAGTGATATAAAAAAACAGTACGGAAGGAGAGGTGGTACCCCTCTCACCTAAATCATCCCATCATTGGCTCGCAGCTATTAGAAATAATGCATAAATCCCTTGTTATAATTGGATGTCACTTTTCTGTTCATCTCGAATAGCTTTTATTTGGATTATGTTTAATTTTGCAGCTTCAGTGTTCTCCAGTTGTGGGTGGGATGTTCACAGCATTGCAGACCTGAGTCATACCCAATCAGTGGGAAATCACAGCATAAACGCTGTTGGAAAATAGAATGCATGGCAGCTCCTCGGGGGTGGGGAGATAGAAAACCAAAGCGTAGGTTGTGGAGTCAGACAAGCATTCAAGTCCAAGCTCTGCTGTTTGTTAAAGTTATGACTTTATGTTTTTCCAGCTCCTGTGAGCCTCAGTTTCCTTATCTCTCCAAATAGGCATAGTATCTGCTCTGTGTGTCTCGGAGGGCTGTTCTAGGACTGTTTGTGAAGTAAGGCACGGTGTAACAGATGTGCACTAATGGTAGTGTTGAAAAGCGCATCATGTAGGTTCTCTTTCTCAGTCAGCCAAAGTGAACAATTGAGTCTGAGTCTGTTGTTACTTGCGAGTTCTCAGAACCATCAGTGAACGAGACCCCAAGAGTATATACGGTTTTGTGCATTTATTGACATGTCAACCATGGGCTACAAGTGATTCACTGTACCAGACCAGATGCTTTGCAAAGGTTTCAAATATTTGGTCACAAAGAGCTTCAGTACAAGCCACCCCAAAGTATGAGACATGAGCCTTTAAGGAAGCAGTAGAAACAGGAAGGTCACCCATAAGTTTCTCAGCCCTTCTTCCCTTGAAATGAGAAGCCATAAAATCCTCATGTGAGTGGTGCCTGCGTATACCTGGAGCAAAGGAAAATTCTTTTTCTGAGGACACGGGGTGCGGAGAAGGGAATTAAGTAGCAAGGAATGCTAAGCTCCGCCGCCCCCTCGGCTGCTGTGTGTCATCAGATCATACTGAGTCATCTATTCATACCCCTCTATGACGGTGCATTTCTTCAGCAGACCATAACATTTGTACACGTCCCATTTCTTTGTATATTGATTTCTGAAGGTTCTCCCATCTCATAAAGCTTTAAACATATTTGGATTTGTTTTCTTTCTTAGTCTGACTTTCATTATAGATACCTCTAACCATGAACCTAACAATAGTGAAGAAAATAAAATTTGCTTCCCCTACAGTAACATCTTCTACTTGGACAATAGTTTTCACTTTTTGTCTCAAGGTAACCTAGCACAAAAGAACTGCTTGCCTTTATGTAAGATTAGAGCTACTAGTGAATTGAAGCTGTGACTACAGATCAAGGTGAAGTCCTGTGGGCGAAAGCGAGCCATGTGGTTGTAGAACAGGTTACTAGAATGACACAGGAGCTGGGATATGGCCAGGGGGTATGCCTTCTTAACGTGTCAAGACTTGTAATACTGCGGGGAACAATTGTTTTTCCCATCAGAGATTCTGGCACATAAATAAAGGCACAATTAGAGACTGGGTAATGGCACACAAACAGACTTATACTCCAGGTCTTTGCACAGAGACACTCCCCTAGCCATTAAATTGTCTTCAAGTAACAAGTGTGAAGGTAGTAATATCCTTGACTGGGTACATTAGTCAGTGAAAGGAAATTGTATTGCACTTATTCAAGAATCTAAGTCTGCTGGGAAGGCTTCTCCAATTTTGAAAATGCCACTTGAGAGAGTGGCTTGCTTTGCAAGTGCAGCTGAAGAACAAGACCCAGGTCTCCCAGTGTCATCTGATGCTTCTCAAGTGTGAAGCTGAAAGGATCGCTTTCATGGGAATGTGGGCATCGCTTTGTAAATTATGCTTTCTTTTAGTGTCCACTTTTCAAAATCAGCTCTTAATATTCACCTGCAGCTCACACAGTATGGAGGTGAAAGCTGCGGGGAGGAGGGCCTGGAGCGGGGAATACATTTGACAAAATGCTTTGTATAGGAGGAGAGTTTGCTTCATGGTAGATTTGGAGGGGGTAAAAAGGCAGCCTATCTGATAAGATGTGGCACATTTCAGATGGGGGAATGCAGTTTATTGGCTGGACCCCATTGTTTGCCCTTTACCCCACACAGAGCTTTGGGGAGTCTGCTGCATGGAGCTGCTTGGGAACAAAGGTCAGGCTGAAGGCTGGCTACATTCTTATTGGTTCTTAACCTTCCTGCTATTGCCTCAGCTGCACCCCTTTCCAGTTAGGGTGGGGAGGGCAGTTGAAAACTTTAAAGTCTTTCTGTGGCCCAATTAGTATTCAGTGACACAAAGGGCTGCCTTTCAATGGTGAGGGAGATTTCACAGCTGTTGGTTGTAAGAGTTACTGTGAAAGTGTGAACGATTTTATTTTGGTGCTGGATTTGGACCAGGTTTAGGGCCAGAGAATGTGTCCTATGCTCCTGAATTGGCTAAGAATGCTTTGATCCTGGTGAAATAGACTTTCAGGTCAATGAATATTCAGAGGATAATAGACAGTTACAGAACAAAAATCAGGGTTTGGTTCCATGAAATTTCACCTGTAGTTTCACAAAGTGAATGTGTCTGTGCCTGTAGACATAAGGTTATTATGCACCGGCTGCCCTCAGTTATTTGAGTCATATCATCTGCTTAGGAACTGACTGGAACTTAACTGTCTTGGGCAGCCTGGTTGTCCCTGGCTTGGAGCACCCTGCCGACTGCTACCAGCTAGGGCATACTCAGAGACTGCAGATCCCACATTTGAAGTTGATATTAATGTAAACCAAGTAGCATTTTATAAACTCACCTGAAAATCTCAATATCACACATTCCAAAGGCAAATGGAATGTTCTCAAGTGTCTGCAACTTTCACTTCAGTCACATTAGGATAAACTTTTGAGAATAGCTGGTCTCTGCTTCAAACTGTAGAAGCTGTATTTCATAAATGGAGGCAATGCTACTGCTGATTCTAAATGTTTTCTCACTTGATAATTTATTTTTATGGAAACCCTCTCAAAGCTGCGCAAACTACATGCCATTTATGCTGTTGCATACGCACAGAACTTACCAAATACTATCAGGACAGTCCTGAACAATACAAAAACTGGGATTACCACTCAGAGCTCATGGCTTACCAGGGGAGTAGTGTGCTAAGCCTGCTAATCGGAGATTCCTTCGTTTCACTGAAGTCACCAAGCAGTGCCCCCATGGTTCTGCGCAGTTGCAAAATGGCAGCAGTACAACCTTTGTCTTCACAAGATATTTCTAGCATTTCCCCTGAAGTTTACATTTTATATACTTGGCTATGTTGGTGGGTCATGTATTTTTGAAGATCATTCTTTTCCCTCTGCTATGTAGAACCATGTAAGCAAGTAGAAATTGGGCATCATTTTGTAAGGTAGCTTATGTTGCATAAGCTTTGAAGTGAGACAAATGAGTTTAAAGTCAAACAAGCAAATCTACCATCTGTTTGCCTTGGTCAAGTGATGTAATCTGTCTGAACTTCAATTCCCTCAACTATAAAATGAAGATGATACTATTTAGCATAGTTTGGCATAGGAGATATATAAGAATGTTATTACTTGTAATCCTCTAGATACAAGTTCATTTAGGCTTTTGTTTTTAAAGTTAAAAATAGAAAATTGATAATTTAGCTAAAAATCAAAATGATAAACTAGATATCAGTTTTTAAACATAATTGCTGTGTGAGTTTTATAAAGGGTGAGGTTACAATACATGATTTTGAAAGAATGGAAGAGAATCATCAGGAAGAGGGGGAAGAATGAAAGACAGCAGTCTCCTGACATCCGTGATCCTTCTTCATACTCTCAATACTGGAACTGTTCGGTGACCTGTAGCTCACAGCTGATGCCACAGCCTGTTGCCTTCTTCCTTTGGGGATTGTTAACGAGGATCCATGAAGAACTATACTGGCCTTTTCCAGAATACCTTAGCTTGAGTCTTGTAATAAAATGCTTATGAGAGTAGGACAATCTGTGCATGAAAGCTTCCTTTCTAATCACAGGTTATTCCACACACTACTCATACCCTGTCTCCTGCACCAGTTCTTCCGAAATTTTTGCAGTTCTCTTTCGTGAACTCGTTCATACATGTAAACATAAGTGCCACTGAAATGTAGCAATAGCAGGAGCAGTGTGTAGAAGATCCTCTCAAATGTATACTTCATTATAGAAAAGGGGAGTTTTCATCTTGGGAAATCTCTGAATAGGCAGACAATCCTCCCCCAGACCTCAGCTTTCCTTTCTCCCAAGGGTTCTTTGACTGAAGTTTCTCAACGTTTTGGCTGTGGTAATAATTTCATTCTGCTCTTCAAAATGAAATTCAGGCAAGAAATTGAAGTGCATTTCAGAATGTTTCTACTATCATATCTGCGAAAATATCATGTGATGATATTGCATTTCTTTTTTTTTTTTTCTAGATTGGCAAGTTATGTGCTCACTCTCAACAACGCCAGTACAGATCTGCTTATTATCCTGAAGACCTGTTTATTGACAAGAAGGTATTAAAAGTTGCTCATGTAGAACGTGAAGAAACCTTATCCAGCCGTCGAAGGTGAGAGGGTTTTTCTACTCTTTTTCAGCATACAATCAACAATTGTTTTTGAAGGTAGAAAACTATTGGAGCAGAACTTCTTAAATATATGTTCTCTAGTTCTTTGGAGTGATGTGTTCAATTGAATGCTATCATCTGTCAGTATTACAGAGAAAAAAAAAAACAGTATTGCATTACCCAAGCCACAAGCAGATGTAAAGGTAGTGTGTAAATATATAGTACAGCAACACAGTAATGTCCTTATTCAAGATCCTTCGTTGAATAAACAAAAGTGTGTGCATATGATTTGGTCTCAGTATTCCACGGCTTGATTTGTGGCTTTCTCATTATTGACAGTGATTCAGGATTAAATTTACCAGAGGAAGGCTAAAATCTGGTAGGATGCTACCCACCCACCTGCACGTACACACACACACACGTACACAAACACATGCACACACAGATACAAATGGGTCAACAGAGAAACATGCAACAGTATTTGAATTCGCTTTTTAAAAAGTGATATATAATCTGGTTCCTTGGTAAAACAGCAGTCAAAGAATAAAATACAGGGTTGTATTTTTTTTTTAATTCCCACTGTTTTGATCCATCCCTCCTTCCCATTCGGTTTTCTCCATTCCAATTCTAATTTATTGGTTAAAATTAAGGGACAGGAATAGAATGGGAAACCCAACACAAAACTGGGGAGAATTACCTTACCCCCACAGTGTTGTCAAGTTTGCCAGGGCTCAGGAAGAGCCACACATGATTTCTTCTTGTTGACTTTGAAGAGGCTGATAGAGGTCTACAGATAGAAAATAAAAGATAAGTAATACCTGGTATTTGTGCCAAGTTATTGTATTTCTAGCAACTTGCTGCAGGAGGATTTGAGATGGTAATTCTTAGCTGTATTTGACTTTAGGGTGACAGAAGGTAGAAAGAATGGTGACAGCTTTAGGGTGACAGCTTGAGAGAATGGTAACCTCACCATGAAGCATTTCAGAAAGCCCCCTTGGCTTGACTTGAAACGCAATGGATTTCTAGTTTCCTGATAGCATCCACATGAAAACATGATTCCTGGACCCCTCGGAGTCCCAGAGGCCCTTCTGGAGAGGGCGTCGTATGGGATCTTTCTTTGGCTAACTACATAAGTGTGTCCAAAGCAAGCAACATATTGCAACAGATTCATTGAAAAAAATCAGTAGGAGAATCTGCTTGCCAGCTATCAATTTAACTGACTTTAACTAAAATACATCTTGTGAATATGTAAAGCTGTGTCACTTTTGTTATTCATTGTTTTTCATAGTGTAATGGGTTTCTGATAGTTTCAGATGAATAATAGATTGTGAATGTCTTCCTTGGTTTTAATTTCCAAAAGAGTAAATATTGAAAAATACATAGTGTGTAACTAAAAGTTCTTTGAAGTTCTCTGAAGTTCTCAATGACCAAGAGTGTAAAGTGATGGTCTTAGTTATTTAATACTGCACAACAAATTACCCATCAACATAGTTATTTAAAACAACAAACGTTTGTTATCTCATTGTGTCTGCCCACCGTGTACTTGGAAATTGCCTAGCTGGGTGATTTCTCTGAGTCTCTAAAGAAATTTTCATCAAGGTTTTGCCTGAGGCTTCACTTTTGACTGAGGCCACTTCCAAAATGACTCATTTTCAGGTCCAACAAGTTAGTTAGTGTTAGTTGTTGGAGCCAAGCCTCAGTTTCTCATCCTCAAGAACCTCTTGAATTGCTGTTTGACATGGCAGCTGGCTTTTCCGGAGTGATTCATGGAAGAGCAGGAGGAGAAAGCTATCTTGTTTTAGGAATTTTGTCTTGGAAGCATCACCTTGTCAGTTTTGACGTATTTGATTAGTCAGATGCAAGTCACTGATTTGGATCCATATCTAGGAGATGGGAAACTAAGCTCTTGAAGGGAAGAATATCAGGGAAGGGAACTTGTGAACATATTTTAAAGCCGCTGCAGGGCTCCTGAAACCAAATGTTTTAGTACCAATTTCTTACAGCATTTGGGTTCTTTGGGGAAAACTTTCTCTCTCCAAGAAGATAAAAATGAGGTGATTTATCAAGACCCTTTTAAAGCGTCATGCTCTGTTACTTTGATTCTTAGCCTCAACCACCTAAGCAATTGACTTCAGGTCACCTAAGCTATCAATCTTCAATGGAAAATTCTTCCATATTTGGTGGAAATTCTCTCTCTTTATATGTGTGTGTGCGTGTATATATATGTGTATACATGTGTGAGTGCATACATATATGTGTATATATATTCTATTAGATATATAATACATATTATATATTTCATATATATGTACATTTATCTAACATTTGTTAAATGCCAGAATGTATAACCTGGGCATTGAAAATACCAAGACACTCTGCTCACTAGCACAAACTAATGTTTAAATGGACTTGTATATAAAAAGTTGCCAAAAGTTTTATAAGTTTTAAAGCAAAAGAAGGTACAGAGTACAAAGGTAGCCACCTCCAGGGAACAATAGAATCTCTATCCAGGTGAGTTCCAGTAGAGGTTTCATGGAGGAAGTAGTGCATGGATTTGTATCAGAAACATATGGCGCTTTCAGCAGAACAACCACAACCAAGTCTCGTTTTGAAATTTTCCTGTCAATGTAGACAAAATTATAAGGTAGGAAGTTGATACAAATCCTGCTGCAATGGCTTGTCTCTTGGACTCTGTCACCTATTTCCTTTCACCTTACCAGAAGGAGCTCTGTGGACATTGGCTCTGCCCAGAAAAGTTTGATAAATAGGCTTTGTCTTGGGCACTTGGATTTGGCACTTTGTTCAGAGTCTTTTTTTAAACTTGCAACTAGCCTTCAAATAAAACAAAAGAGAAAAAGGAAAAGTGACAAAATGAAGGATGGTCACAAATGGCTCCTTTGGGTGTAGAGAGCATGACACTGCTTACCTTTTTTTTTTTTTCTTCAAACTAAACATTAGAGTCTGAGATGGAGCCCTTCTTTCTAAAATCTCTGGTAGAAGAAGAAAACAAAAATAAGAGTACTTGAATACCTGACATCATTGACTTCCCTTAAAAGATGGTAAACTGTTTGAGAGAGGGGCACAGTGAGGGTTAAGATAATCTGCTAGATATATTGGTCCTATGGTCTGAGGCCATTAGGAGAGTTTGTCTTGGCAGAGTGTTAATACCCCCTAGAAATTTCTCAGTATGTTCTGCACAGTATTCCATACTGTCCAGAAAAAAATATATGTGCCTACCACACTCATGCCCAAACTCCATCCTCTGATTAAAAAGATAATTAGAAAGGAACTCCATTGTAATATTCAGTCTGTGGCAGTTGTGAGCAAGCTGTCTGAATGTGATTTGAAAAGCCTTTTGCTTTATTAAAGTAGCAACCCACCAAGAAAATTCCTGTGATAGTATTCAGAAGTCATCTGTTTGTTTTGTCTGCCCCCAACTGGGTAGTTTGCAATACACAACTAATCTTAGCAATAGCTTAGTTCAATTTAAAGGCGATTTGATACTCAACTGGTGGTCTATGTGGGGGACTCAGTGTTCCTTGAAGGGATAAGTACTGAAATGATCTGTCAGTAGATGTAAAATAATGGGGGTAGGATAGGATGCACAAGTATTGCAATCAGACCTTCACAAGCTCTTGCAGCTCAAATTTGTTCAGCATGTCTCAGTTGCCAGCTTCTCCTTCATTGTCTCTCTGGAATGTTTTCTTTGCCATTTCCCTTATATACATGTTTACCTTTTTCTTATTTCACGTGATGTTTGGTAGAACACATAAGCAATATGTTCCCTTTTCCAGACTCAAAACCTGTAGTTGAATTGTTCATTTTGCATGAAGCTAGTGGCCTAGCTGCTAATCTGTGAGGAAATCACGGTCCTTCCACCCTTGTGTTCCAATCCTCTGCTTCCTGAACTCTCCTGGCTTGGTCTGAAGGGGCAGTGACTTAGATGATAGTGGTGAGTGATCTAGAGAGAAAAAGAGCATACGTTGATCTTAGGTCCCTCATGGAAAACCAGTGCTGACTGCCACCACCTCTCAGACTGTCACTCTGTGTGACTAGGTAGCCTTAGGAGATTGACGGTGCCTTCTACCCTGTGACCAACACCAAAGTATGTTTTGAGGGAGTTAATCAGTTTCTGGCCTGGTACAAGTCCCTAGTACTTCTTTCTACATTTGTCAAAATCATCTGTATAGCTGACATTGTGTAAAGGGTTAGGCTGTAATAAATGGGAGGTGCTCTTAGCCCAGTTAGGGCAACAGATCTCCAAGTAAATGCTGGTCCTCCATTGAGGGTGGGTGTCAGAACTGTGCCATGTACAGAAGAGTGGCAATCATCAATGAGTGGAAAAACCAGCAATTCTCCTGAGGGAGCCCGAGAAGGCTTCTTGGGCCTGAAACATAAGTGGGAATGCGAAATCAGGAGGCAGGAGAGGAGCATGTCCCAGACAGTGGGAGCAGGGTGAGAAAAGTGTGTGTTAGTCTCTGGAATGGCAGAACATCGTAGTTTCGAGTCAGACTCTGAAAGCCTGTCTCCAGCAGAATTAGATCACGCTCTTGCATCGTTCCAGTCTTAGCTGCTTTAAGTTTAGGTACTTTACCAGACTTTTTAAAAAATAGTGAGCTTTTGTTACTTCACATTAAAGAAAAAACCATTAATAACAGCAAGAAAAAATATTCGTCATCTGCAATTGGGGATGAAAAGCTGTGTTTACATGCAGTGTTTTCCAATGAGTGCAGCCTTGATGCCTATCCAAGCAAAGCATTGCAAGAAAACTAATGCAGTCCCCTGCCCCACAACCAGGTAATATGCTTCCATACTAAAATAGGAGGGCTCATCCCCTTGACATTTTGATTGAATCTCATCTGGATCTTTTTCAACTTGTCAAGGATCATTATGATCCGTTAAGAAAACTACAAAGGTTTAGATGCAGGGAGAAGTTCAGGGTAGTTTTTTTTGTTTGTTTGTTTTAAAGATTTATTTATTTTTGTTGGAAAGTCAGATATACAGAGAGGAGGAGAGACAGAGGAAGATCTTCTGTCCAATGTTTCACTCCCCAAGTGACTGCAATGGCTGGTGCTGTGCTGATCTAAAGCCAGGAGCCAGGAACCTTCTCCAGGTCTCCCACGCAGATGCAGGGTCCCAAGGCTTTTGGGCCGTCCTCGACTGCTTTCCCAGGCCACAAGCAGGAAGCTGGATGGGAATTGGACTTGCCGGGATTAGAACTGGTGCCCATACGGGATCTTGACACATTCAGGGCGAAGACTTTAGCCACTAGGCCACACCGCCGGGCCCAGGGTAGTTTATTTATTTATTCATTTTTTTGCTTGTTTGTTTATAACTTCTATGGAAATCAAATTGGGAAGTGTTGCTAAGGTTCAATTTTTCATTCCATGTGCTATGTTAGGGAGAGAAGGTTAAGAGGTAAGAGGAAGCCTAGGGGAAAGTCTTTCATTAATGAGAAGGCCATCGTTTCCCATAGACTAATGGGCATATTCTCTTTCTTCTTGTTGTAGGGGGAATTACTCAGCCTAAGCCTTTAGTCTTGCAGTTTCCACTCTTGGGAACTGTATTATTACCTTGTAAAGCAGAGCATCACTCCTATTAGTTGTTAATTGAACCTATCTTTTTCCTCAGTGAGAAGCCATAATGTTGACTTTTATTTTCAGAGCTCTGTATTGACCCTGTTTTTGTTGGAGACTGATGGTACTCAACTACCAAAAAGTAGGCTTCAAGGGTGCTCTGAGCATAGCAGGAAGCTACTATTGGAGTAGAAGGAGTTATATATATCCCAATAATGTTCCTGGAGTTATTCTGTCCATTTCACTTTCTTTTACTGTGCCAAAACCTTTAAGAATTCTCTCTCTCTCTTCTATCGCTGTCTTTTCCCCCAGCCCTGCAATCATTAGCTGGAATGAATAGTTTTATGTTAATAAAGTAGAAAATGACATTACATGCCAGAATGCATTTCTTAGCCTAGGACTGTCACCAGTGTTGAGATGAGATTCAGGCCTCTAACTCCTACAGAGGCATATCTGGTCAGTCCATTATTTTAGAAAATAATTCTTTTTAGTTGCTTACCATTGGATATGTACTGTATCGATATATTAATACTTCTTTTAAAACATAAGCACCTCTGTTCAGCCTCTGGTGTGTTCATTTTGCATACCCATGTCTGTCTGGAACAAGGTAGCGGGCAGGAAATGTTGCAGCCATTTATGTATGTGTCTTATACACATTTGCATAATGCTCTTTCTTTGTTCCCTCTGTCTCTTGTGCTTTTCTGATCATATACAGCATTGAAACCAAAGCAGATAGTAAACTACACTGGATTCCTGTCCTCTTGCCTTTCCTCCTCACAAGAAACATGGGGTGTACACACAGAACAAAGAAACCTTGCTCCTGCAGCAGTGTGGGTTTCTCTGACTACGTTGTCAGGAGGATTTCAGTGAGCATGTGCTGTTCTGAGCACCCTGAGATTCTGATCTGCAGCCATTAGCCGGAACCTGTATGGAAAGGGGCCATCTCCAGGGTAATAGCATTGTAAATTACAATCAGTGCACTCAATTACACTCGGAAAGCAAAAGATATGTAGTGCTCCAGTGTGCCTTGTAATCAGCACCTTTGAGAATGTCGGTAATAGCATGGTGAACAAAGAATAGAAACTGCTAAACGTGTTGGAAAATGGATGTTGGAATTAAATCATCCTTCTGCTAGGAACGGCATCTTATGTGGCAGGCAATGGTTTTCTCTCCTCCCCCCCCATATCATTTTATTGATTTAAAAATAAACTGAATTGTGGCTGTGTAGCCAAGAATGTCTTCAAAAATCATTTATTGCTCTAATCAGTCTGGCAGAACCTTTCTGTCATGCTGATAAGGAAATTAAACTTTTCACACACTGGGCTTTCTTGCCTCTTAGGCACTGAAGTTTTGTTTTTCTTTCAGGGAACTGATTCAGAAGTTGAAGTCTTTCATCAACTTCTATAGTGCTCTGCCTGCCTACGTCTGCAGCCACAGCCCCGTGGCCGAAAATGACACCCTTTGCTGGAATGGACAAGAACTCGTCGAGAGGTGATTCACTCTTTCAATTCAGATATAGCAATAATTGCAGAATAATCATCATCTATTCATCTAAAGGTTCTCTTGGCCTCCATGGGTTTCACAAGGAAAATTCTGGCAAAATGATATACATGAGCTTCTGTGGTGTGGCAAATGCTATCTATAGTTCATGGAATTTGCAAACTTGGGTGCACAGAGAACTCTGTTCAGGAACATTTTACAAAGTGTGAAGTATGGACCAGCTCTTTTTGTCTTTGGCTTCTTCCATGGCTTCCTTATATGGGTACTCATCTATTTGAATTTTAGGCATCGTACAAATAGCTGTCTTTTATTGAAAGGTAGCTATATTGTTAGACACCACTGTCAGTGCTATGTATGTATTAATACTTTTTATCTATGCAAAAATTCTATGAAATGATTGTTGTTAAGCCCCCCTCCTCATTTTACAGATGAAAATGAAGGAAAAAATGGAAAGGAAAGTGGAAGACCATTTCATTGAACAAATTTAATGATGTTTGATGATTTCAGTACTTATCAGTATCATTTATACTAACCATCATAACCTCATAACTGAAAAAATATTTTTCATTTATTTAGTGAGCACTTTCCAAGAACCAGGTATGTTGAAGTGAATGAACCAAACAAAATTCCATGTCCTCATGCAGTTTTCATTCTGGCGGGATAATAGTAGTCCTAACCCTATAGCTTTATGTGTTTGATAAAATAGCTTCCATGTTACTAAATCAAGAGCCCAGAATGCTTAAGAAACCACTCGAGGCTTTAAAGAATGTACAAGTAACAGTATGTTGTAAAGGGGCAAACAAAAAAAGACCTGAAATCAAGTTCTGAGTCTTTCATTACTCTCCATAGAGCACGTGATTTAACCTCATTAGGCCTTGGTTTCCCCATCAACAAAATGAGATAATCTGATCAAAGCCTCCTCCTGCCAGCTCCTACAGTTTGTACATCCTCCCCCCCCATATTAATTTATTTATTCACTCATCCTTTCAACTAGTATGCTTTAAGATATTGTGTATTAGGAACCGGGCTAGGTGCTAGAGATACTAGGGTAGAAAAGTCCATGTGCTTGCTATAGAGAACCAATAAGAAAATTCTTCAAAATATCCATGGAAAAATGAAGCCCAAGAAACCAATTTAGGGGGAGTGTGCATTTAGCCTAGTGTCTCACATTGGAGTGCTCGAGTTCAAGTCTGGCTGTGACCCTTGGCTCCAGCTTGCTGCTAACGTTGACCCAGTGAGGCAGTGACCGTGGCTCAGGTGACTGGGTTTTTGCCACCCATGTGGGAAACCTGGATTGCCTTTCTGACTCCTGTCATTAGTCCTGGATCAGATCTGGACTGTTGGAGTGTGAAGCAAGAGATGGGAGCATGTGCAGGTTTCTCTCTCTGTCTCTTCTCCCTCCCTTCTCCCCTTTGTCTCTCCTCTCTCCCTCTCCCTCTCTCCCTCCTACTCCCTACCTCCCTCCCTCTCAATTAAATAAACCTGGTTTTGCATGTCAGTGTTGCTGGTAACCATATGTGGTGTTGGGTCAGTCACTTTTAAGGTGAAAGAAAACGTTGCAGAATATTTTCACCTCACTATTGTTGTCACTCCACTATTAGATGAGGTCATAAATGTAAAGCCCCTTGCAGAATGCCCCGTACTGGAAGTTCAATTCATCTTACTTCACTGTTTTCTCCTTTCTCAATTCCTCTTCTGCGCAATAAAAAACAAGAACCGTGATTAAAAGCCACTTGTTTCTAATCTAAGCTCTTTTACTGACATGAGGAGAAAGAATGAAGTTGCCCACCACCCTGGATGAGGCACTGAATTGGCATGGAAATAGACTTCCTTCTTGCCAATGTGAGCCGGGCTGGAGGGATTAAATGGCCCCACCCACCCCACTCTGGAGAAACTGTGTTTCTTCAGCCTAAGAGCTCATCAGATACTAAGTAGAATCATGGAGAGATACTTAGCTGTTATGATTTTTTAATTGACAGAAAAAAGCAGGTGGTATTTCACTTTGTAACAAACAAAATGATGTTTTAAATCAGTATAGTGGTCAGTATTGTGGCCTAGAGAGTAAGCTGCCATCTGCAGTGCAGGCATTTCACATGAGCACTGATTTGTGTCCCTACCACCCCACTTACAATCTGCTCCCTGCTAATTCACTTGGGGAAAGCAGTGGAAGATGACCCAAGGACTTGGATCCCTGACACCTGCTTGGGAGACTGAGATGAAGCTCCTGCCTTCAGTCTGTTCCATTCCTGGCTGTTGGGCCGTCTGGGGGAGTGAACCAACAGATGGAAGGTACTCTGTCTCTCCATCTGTATAACTGTGACTTTCCCCTGCTTCCAGTCTAGCTTCTTGCTTAATTCCTGGGAGGCAGAGAATGATGCCCTGGGTCATCTTGGGTCCCTGCCATTTGGGACACCCAAATGGTATTCCAATCACCTGGCTTTGGCCTGAGGCAACCCTGGCTGTTACAGGCATTTTCCAGAGTGAACCAGTAAAATACAAGAACTCTATTTCTCTCTGTGTTCCTTTGTCTTTCAATTTTTTTTTTTCAAAAAGTAAAAATTCATGGGAAAATAGTCAAAACATAAAATTGTTTTGGCTCAAAATGTTTGTGAATTTTGCAAGCCCCCTTGTATAATGACCAGGGAAGAAATGAAAGATGGAGGGAAGGATAGGGAAAAACCAAGGAGAAAGGAAATAAAGAAAGAAACAAATCAAATATATTTGTAGACAGAATAAAGGTAATCTAATCCAAGAAGTTATTCTTCCTTGGTTAGTAACCCCAGGTTATAATTAACCTGTGCTGGTATTACTGACCTAACGCAATGATGAGACTAGGGAATAGTGTCAAACTAGTTTTTGTTTGAACTACTCAGGAATTTACATTTAATAATATGAAGTTCTTCAGCCTGAAGACATATATGTCCTCTGTACCATTTATAAGGTTAATTCTGTATTCATGTCTCATCTATAGTTAAAACCTCTTTACAGAGCTTTTCACTGAATCTCCCAATTTATCCTAACTAACACCACTTAATATTGTCAAATGGGTTGTAAATTTTCTAGCTATCTGGTTAGGATTTGTGTTTTTTCTGGGAAAATATTTGCTGCTAACGAACAAAAATTATGAAAATCAAAGACCCAGACCAAGAAGACTTGTCAGTGGAAATCTTTTTAAAAGGAAGATATTGACAGTGAAGAAAACATTGAGAAATAGCCATGTCACCTCTGTTATCAGAGCTGTTGATCCCTGCCTAGCATGAATAAACAGATGGCTCAAGTTTTGAGGCGTTAATCTATTGCTCTCTAAATCAGGTCATATTTCGTCTGTTTTCAATTTTTATCTTTTATGAATGCATTCAACTGAAAGATGGATGAAGAGGTTGCTTTCAGAGATATGTCGCAAATGAACCTGTCATTTGTCCTTCTCTCCTCACCACCACCACATCATCTTGGCATCAAATAAACAGTGGCTTGGCATCCCAAGATTTAGCTGAGAAATCTTTGAATTAGCAACTATGGTCCATTTGAACCACCAATGGATCCTACAGGCATAGATGTTCTACAGTTGCCAAGGGCAGTCTTCCAGCATTTTTCCCTTGTGAAACTACAGAGAATTTCAATTAAAGAGCCCCTGGGACCCTGAGAAAAATAAAAGAACCACAGAGGTTAATACTGGGTTCAGCAATAGATTAATATAGGCTTTGCTGCATCACCAGTGGTAATAACTTATAAGAGTGAACATTTGAGTAAATACATTCCCAAACACTCTTTTAGAGCTGCATGTCAAATATCTGCATAATTGACTATAATTTTCATTCTTTTAGGAATTTTGGCCTAACAATCCTGTTTTATTATTTGATGAAGTTTGTTTATGTTCGGATAGCGGATAAATTATTTAAACCTATATATACATTTGAAAAACCCTTGTTTGAGAGTAGAAGAATGCGTATTAATCATGTGTTTCCTCCTAACTCTGGGACTCTCGCGTGGGACACCTAGCACGAGAGGATAAGTTCCCTGAACTCTACAGCAGGAACCATACAGTGAACATGCCGCCTCTGACCTGTGCGATCTCACGTGCCAGTGCTCCCCAAGAAATTTCTCTGTCTCCCTCTCAATTCCCTCTTGTACTTCCATGATCAGGGAAGTCTTTCCATGTTTATATTGTCTCTCCAGGATTTCTCTGCTTAATTGCAAAGTGCATAGCAGGGACGTGGCAGTCAATTGCTTTAGTTTCCAAAGAGCTTTATTCTTTAGAACTTGTAGATATTGTCCGAAAGTGCGGTAAGGAGTTTCTTTTACTCTCCTCTCTGCTGGCTTGGCAGGATAGATGACGTCGTCATATCAGCAAGTGAGAGTGGAGAGAACACTTCACACTTCATTTAGGAGTGTGCAAAAATAAGTTTGTAGACTCTTGTCCATAAAATAATTTTCCCCTCAGCATCTTGGAATGACCAAGGAGAACAATTGATTCTGCTGTTATAATTCAGTGATTTTGCAAACATTAGCTCTTTGGGTGGGTAGGAGCAACAGTTTTCTAGCACTGTCTGTGGTTTGTGTAGCAAGTGGGAAAGACACTCGGAATCTTCAGTCAAAGTGACCGAGTTCTCAGTGTCAAAATTCTCAAGTGCATACATTCTCAGAAAGGTCTAAATATGCAAAACGCATCTTCATGGCATCCGCACAGGCCGCTGGTATGCAATAGTCCCTCTCCATAGCTTCCACCGTACTTGTGTAAAACCCCGCTGCTTTGTGTGTGTGTGTGTGTGTGTGTGTGTGTGTGTGTGTCTGTGTGTGTTTTCAGATTTATGTGATGGCTCTTCTCTGAAGTACTCAAGGCAGAATACATGCAGTTTTGGCTATAGGGTACCCAATGATAGCAACAACAAGGAAGCAGACACCTACGATCAAATGCAGAACTGAGAGAATGAGGTTTTAGTTTAAAAAAAATAATAATAAACAACAGATAGTGGAAATATTATCCAATGGTA